TAGCTAAGTTGTCCGGGCTATCCTGGAACTTGTAATCTTTTGCCTCAGCCTCCTGAATGGCTGGAATTACAGGCATGTGCCACATGCCCATCTTAAATTATGAAGCTATTTTTGAAGTCAGGTGTTGGGAGATATGACTATTTCACCCTACCAAAGGGAAATTTAAATAACTTTTTGAATAATCTTCAAAATGGTCCCCCATGCAATATGTACAAGCTGAAAAGGTTTAGAAGAATGGTTAATAGGTGGGATGACATGACCAAAACTTGCCACATGGCGGCAGTGCTTCTCCAGGGAAAAAGATGTGGAGTCCCAGGGCTTCAGAAAAGCAAGTAGTTCTCAAACTTCTGCAGAGGAAGAGTAGTGGAACAAATGTAACATGGTAGGCTTTGGTATCTGCTATTATCTGACAAAGGGCAAATATAAATAGAACACTTGGGAATAGGCTGTGCATATTAAAATCCATTTTTTCATGGATATGCAGTCTCAGAATTTATTTTAAAATATTGATTTTGTGTGATATATGATATAACCTACTATTGGAAATGTTTTCTAATTTATAATGACACAACTGAGAGCATCAGCATTGATAAACATTCCACGTACAATACTATACTTCCAGGTATACTGACAATTAGCACCCTGAGCCCTTTCCCTGATTTTTTTTTTTTTTCTTCTTCTTGAAGTACTAGAGATTAAACCCAGGTCTTTGAGCATGCTTGGCAAGTGCACTACTCTGCCGTACAACCCCAGTCCAAACCCATTTGAGAATCACGATCTGATCCAATGTTTTCTAGTTACAAATAAGGAAAACAAGGCTCTGAGGAAATAAAAGATCTACCTAAATTCATAAATCCATGTGTGGAACCAGATCAGGCTAATCCTTATAGAGTAAACACTCCAGATATTTCCCTTGTTGCCATCTATCAACTTGGTAATCAGGGCTTGTTGTATTAACCATGAGGGGCAAGGGGTAAAGGAGCCAAGAGTGACTCCAGGTTTCTGGGTTGGTAGATGCTGGATTATGATGTCGTTCACTAAAATTGAGAATACAGGCTGCCAATTCCAAAATGACTGATTTTAGCTTGACACAAGTTAATATATAGATGAGAGTAAAAGCTTTCCTGGGGATGGGAGGAAGGCGAAATTGTTTGGTGGGTATAGAGTTTCATTTTATAAGATGAAGAGTTCTGAAGATTGGTTGTAATGTGAATGTACTTAACACTATTGAATTGTCTCTAAAATTATTAAGGCTGGGGCTGGGTTGTGGCTCAGTGGCAGAGTGCTTGCCTAGCATGTGTGAGGCACTGGGTTTGATTCTCAGCACCGCATATAAATAAATAAAGAAAATAAAGGCCCATCAACAACTAAAAAATATATTAAAATTTGTTAAGGGGTATAGCTCAGAGATAGAGTATGTGCTAAGCTCAGGTAAGGCCTTGGGTTCAGTTGCCATGTAACCAAAAAAAGGTTACAATGGTAAATTTTATGTTACATATGTGTTACCACAATAAACAAATGAATAAAATTTTCCCTTTTTTAGTTCACTGTCCACTCATTTTGTTTTTCAAATTGGAGCTTTCTCTCCCTTCAGTATTACTATTGATGTTGTTGTTGTTATTATTATTATAAAATTGTAGTAATGGGTTGAATCCAGGGGAGCTCTACCACTGATCCATATTCCCTGCCTTTTTCATTTTTTGGCATATTACTACTTTTAATAGACAAATCAAAATTTTAGATATTTATGGTATACAACATGATAATTTGATATAGGCATACATTGTGGAATGGCTAAATCAGTCTAATTAACACGTATTATCTCACATAATCATTTTTTATTTTTTTTTCCTTTTTTTCTTTTTTTTTAAAGAGAGAGAGAGAGAGAGAGAGAGAGAGAGAGAGAATTTTTAATATTTATTTTTTAGTTCTCRGCGGACACAACATCTTTGTTGGTATGTGGAGCTGAGGATCGAACCCGGGCCGCACGCATGCCAGGCGAGCGCGCTACCGCTTGAGCCACATCTCCAGCCCACATAATCATTTTTTAATGTATATGGTAAGAACTTTTAATACTCAGAATTTTTTAATGTTTTATTTATTTTCATTTTCTTTTTAAAAATTTGTTCTAATTAGATATACATGACAGTAGAATGCATTTTGACATATTGTATACAAATGGAGCCCTTTTTATTTTTTGTTTTGAGACATGACCTCATTAAGTTGCTGAGGCTGGCCTTGAATTTATAATCCTCCTGCCTTGGCTTTCCAAGTTGCTGGGATTACAAGTGCACACCACTGCATCTGGCTGGAGCTTTCTCTCTTAGCTTCCCTGGTGAACAAGTGAAGAGCTTCTCTAAAGAGATCTGAAAATATTAGTATAAGCCATATTTTTTCCTTTATTCACTTTCAGAGGGAGTTCAAAAAGTACAATATAGCTGGGGTGGTGGCTCAGTGGTAGAACACCTACCTAGCATGTATAAGGCACTGGGTTCGATTCTCAGCACTACATAAAAATATATAAAATAAAGGTCCATTGACAACTAAAAAATATTTTTAAAAAAAGTACAATATAGTTGTCAAATGAATTAATCAGTGCAGCAAATATTTATCATTTTTCCTACCATGAGCCAGGGTTGTTCCAAACCCTTGGTTCTCAAAGTATGGTCACCAAATTAGTAACATTAGCATTACCTGGGAACTTGTTAGAAATACATATTCTTGGACCCCATTTTAGGCACACTGAACTAGAAATGATAGGGATGGGACCCAGCAATCTGTGTTTTTACCAGCCTTTCAGATCATCTGACACATGTTCAAATTTGAGAATGACTATTCTGGATAGTGAGAATACAGTGGTTAAAAAGTCCAGAGTGCCTGTATTCTTGGAGCAACAATAGACAGATAGATAAAAAATTTACTTTTAGGGGGCTGGGGATGTGGCTCAAGCGGTAGCGCGATCRCCTGGCATGCSTGTGTCCCAGGTTCGATCCTCAGCACCACATACAAACAAAGATGTTGTGTCTGCYGAAAACTAAAAAATAAATATTAAAATTCTCTCTTTTTTTTTTTTTTTAAATTTACTTTTAGGAAGAGGTGTTATCAGGGAAAACAGAACAGGAGAAGAAGGGAGATTGCTCTGGCAAGTTCTTTCTGAGGGATGTGAGTTCTCAAGTCCCAAATAGCAGGATATAAAAATGGGTTCCATCAATTACTAGCATTTTAAAAATATGATTTTCTCATCTGCTAAAATGGAGAACATCATATTACTTACCTTACTGGCTTGTTTCATAGATTAAATAAGATAATGATTATAAAATGTGGCAACTTGTGTCTGACATGCATCTAATAAATATTAATCCTCCACATGATGAGGGGTACTATAGATGTAAAATTGAGAATCATCCATATAGAAATTAGTAGTAAAATGGATGAAAATACAAATAGACTAAGAAATGAGGATTAGATTATTATTTCTTTTTCTTCCTTTTTGGTTCTAAGGTTTGAACCCAGGGCCTGATGCATACTRGGCAAGTGCTCTGCCACTGAGCTACATTCCCAGCCCAAGATCTTGATGAGTGCAGAAGTGGTTTGAGAGGTGGTAAAGAGGTGAATAAATGAAGGTGAGGATAGGAGCTTTTTAACTGAACCCAGCCAAAAGTGGAAACTTGGAAGGAGGACAGTGGATAGGGTGACCATCTGTCCTGGTATGCCTATGACTGAGGAGGTTCCCAGCGTTGTGGAACTTTCACTGGGAAAGTCCTGGACAAATTGAACCTAGTTGGTCATCCTACTATTGGATATGACCATAGAGGTGAAGTGGGATGACAGATACTCTGATCTTTCTTTCCTGGTGCGTGCGCTCTGATCTTCACCTTACAGTATCTTGTAAAGTGCCTTAGAGTGGCCTGACCCAAAAGAAGACAAGAGGGCAAGAGAGCTGAACTAAGAGTCCTGAGAAGTCATCCTTGCTTGGACACAGAAAGGTCACAAGAAAAAACAGAATTGACTCAGAAAGGCAAAAAAGAAAATAACCCACATAGTGGGCAAAACTGAGATTAGAATGAGCTAGGATAAATCTGACTTCGGCCCGGTGTGATGGCCCACGCCTGTAATCCCAGAGGCTCGGGAGGCTGAGAGTTGTAAGCGAGTTCAAAGCCAGCTTCAACAAGGGGCGAGGTGCTAACTGGGAATGGGAAGTGGTTCAGTGGTCGAATGTCTCTGAATTCAATCCTCGGTACCAAAAAATAAATACATAAATAAAAATAAAAATCTGGAGCCAGAGCTTTGATTTCCCTCTCACCCCAAGGCTTATTCAAAGGTGGGGAGTCCTCTAGGGGTGAGATGAGTGCTTTTCGCATCGCATCCTCGAATCAACTCTAAGTAAATTTATAAAGATTATCCAAGGATATTCTTTGGTATCTGAGAATCTTGCAAAACTTTTTTAATGTACAAGGGCGAGTGCCTTGTAAAAGCAGCCGCCAACATTTAGCTGCTCCAAGGATGGTGGGGGCGGAGCTCGGTCTTCCTGCGATCACAGAACACCACAAGATGTTCGATTCCCAGTCTACTTCTTGCCTGGAGTGCTCAACCCCTCAATTTGCTTGGTGCGACCTGTCGAGCTACAGCAAGGGTCAAATGTCAAAGACCACCACTCATAAGGTCCCTTGTTGCAGGAATAAAAGGGCTGGGCCGCCCGCAGGAAACTCCTACCCTMGGTTCTGCTAACAAGAACAGCCAGTACCCGCCAAACTACCCTAGTTTATAGTCGAAGGGCCGGCAGGAGGCGCTTCGTGATTGGTGGGGCGAATGGGGGCGTGGCCTTGGACGAAACGCCTCCTCCGGATTGGTGCAAATCATCGAAGGTGGGGCATCCACTGCGGCTAGGCGCGAAAGCTCGAACGTCGCAGCCTGGCTGGAGACGGCGGGAGCTGCTGTCCCCAGGCTGAGGGAACCGGGAACCGAATCATCCAGAACAGAACGCTGGAGAAGCCGGACTCATGGCGGGCGATGTGGGTTCTGAAGTGAGTTTACGCGCAAGCCTCCCACCGGGCAGCGGAGGCGGCACGCCGAGGGTCGTGTTGGGTTCAGGCGGGAGCGGTGCTGAGCTGGGGCGCKGGGCCCGGCGGACTACAGCTCCCGGCGGACTCCGCGTCTTCTCGGCTCGGCTGGGTGGGCTCGCGGCCGCGCCTGGGGTCCGCAGCCGGCTTCCCGCGCTCGGTTGGCGGCAGTGCCCCTGGGGTCGATGGCGCGCGAGGGCCTCCGCCCAGCCCTCCTCAGCTTGTCCCCGCAGCCCACCCTTCCCCTTGGCGCCTTTCCTGCCGCGCGGGCTCCTCTTACCGCGCCCCGAACGAGAGAAGGCCGGCACCGCGGGATGCGGGGCGAGGTTCTGAGTAGACCGGAGAGCTTGTGCAAGTTCAGAACCGGGTCTGAACCGGATCTTGGAGGTAGTCGTGCGCCGGCCCCCAGCGTTTCCCGACAGGTCTTCGGATGCGGAAGTAACACTCCCGGGTCTCTGCTGGCCGCTGACTGCTCCCAGGCGTCTTTGGTCAAAGAAAGCATCTGTTTCCAGACCTGTGCGCTTTTCTGAGGTCGGCACTAGGGCCAGGCTCTCTCGCCTTGGKAGCAAAATTTGAAGGAGCTACCGAAAACTTCAGTGATCAAGTGAAGTTCATATTAATGCAGTATTTTAGAAAATCAGAAATTAATGCAAAAAGCCTATGATTTGATCTTGAACAAAAGGGCAGACTTTTTTTTTTTTTCCTTTTGGTACTGGAGGTTGAACCTAGGATTGCTTTATCGCTGAGCTACATCCCAGACCTTTTAACTTTTTTTTTCTCCAAATATTTTGTTTTAGTTGTAGTAGGACACAACCTTTATTTTATTTTTATGTGGTGCTAGGTGAGCCACAACCCCAGCCCCATCTTTTTGAAACAGGGTCTCACTAAGTTGCTGAGGCTAGCCTTGAACTTGTGATCCTCCTGCCTCAGCCTCAGGCTCTGGGATTGCACGCATGTGCCACCCCGCCTGGCAATATAGCAAACTTAAATATTAAGACTCGACTTTACATGATTTTGTCTCACCTCATCCTAATCCAATAAAAACCTTGTTTCCAACAAAACTGTTAGGAAAAGCAGGCACCTGCAGGTGTAGCTGATCTGTTGTCCCAAGCTATTGGGGAGGCTGAGGTAGGAAGATCACATTTTGAGACCCTAACTTAAAAAATAAAAAGGGCTGATGGTGTAGCTCCATGATAGAGCATCCCTGGGTTCAATCCCCAGAACTGGAATAACTAAATAAATAAAATAAATGATTAAAAAAAAAAGAATAAAGAAAGCAAGYAGTTAACTTCATGAGACATAGTTGGTTAGTTTAATTTTTTAATTATATATACATATATATATTAAACATTTAAACATTTTTTAAAAGTCTTGATTACTGAGTTTTTAAAGATCCCTCAGCTCACTCTTTTCTTGGTACTGCTCTTTGAAGTTATTTGTACTGCTGCAAATTGCCTACAGTAAATTTCCTTATTAAGAGTATCACTGTAGGGCTGGGGTTGTGGCTCAGAGGTAGAGTGCTCGCCTACCATGTGTGAGGCACTGGGTTCCATCCTCAGCACCACATAAAAATAAAATAAAGATATTGTGTCCGCCTATATTAAAAAAAAAAAGTGTCACTGTATATTGAAAACTCAGTTTTCACATTTACAAACAGAACTAATAGTGTTACTGCTTCGGGTTGTTGGGAGGATCATCAGTATATACAGGATAATCCTTGGTGTTTCCTCATTACGTGTTTTCTGTGTTTATTATTTTAATAATTAGGTCAAACATTCAAATCAATTTGATAGTTTTTTTGAGAAACCACTAGAGTAAGACCTTGTAYTCAGTTATAGATGTTATAGATGTTAATTACAGATGTTAATCTGTTATTTTCCTTTTTATTAGTAAGTTGATTCAGAGCCCTGAGAACACCAAGGAAGGTAGATGACCTGTCATCTAGGGTCACCTTGGTCACTTACTGATCAAGTCCCTTACATTCCTCTCTTCCTTTATATTTTTGACTTTTATTTAAATTGCTTTATTTAGGAATTTTCAATCTCTACAAACATAGAAAGCCATCATCTAATTTTGACATTTATCAAATAAAGTCTTGTTTCTACTCTACTCATTTTCCCCCCTCAGGGAATTATTTGTAAGAAATCCCAGACCTCATACTGTTTCATCCACAAATAAATATTTCAATGTACATTTCTAARAAATAAGAGCTTTCTAAAAAAGGATAGCCAAAATATTACCACACCAAAAAAACATCTAGTCAGTGTTTTGACTAATACATATATTTTCAGTTTTTGAGTTAGGATCCCAACAAAAGTCTGCATATTGCAGTAGTTAAAATATATTTCTTAGCCAGATGCGCTGGTGCCTGTAATCAAGCATCTTGAGGCTGAGGCAGGAGGATCAATGAGTTCAAAGCCAGCCTCAGCAACYCAGTGAGGTCCTAAGCAACTCAGCGAGGCCCTGTCTTTAAATAAAGTTAAAAAAAAGGACTGGGAATGTGGATCAGTGGTTAAGCCCCCCTGGGTTCAATCCCCAGTACGGCCCCCCCCCAAATATATACATTGTGTGTATATATATATATGTAGATATAGTATATTTCCTGCAAACTCATTAATCTATAGGTCCCACCTCTTTTTTTTTTTTAAGTGCTAGGATCCAACTCAGGGCACCAGGCATGCTGGCAAATGATCTACCACTGAATAATACTCCCCAGCTTCTATTGTTAAAGGAACCATCTAGTTAGTCCTGTAGAATTTCCTACACCTAGATTGCATATCTCTTTCTCTTTGTCTTTCTCTCTTTCTGTTTCTCTCTCTCTCTCTCTCTCTCTCTCTCTCTCTCTCTCTCTTTGGTACCAGCGAAGCATAACCACTGAGCTAAGTCCCCAGCCCTTTTGTTATTTTTAGTTGTTGATCAACCTTTATTTATTTATATGCCATGCTTAGACTTGAACCCAGTGCCTCACACATGCTAGGTAAGCGCTCTACCACTGAACTACAGCCCTAGCCCCTGAGCCCTTTTTTTATATTTTATTTTGAGACAGGGTCTCACTAAGTTTCTGAGACTGGTTTTGAACTCAATCCTCCTGCTTCAGCCTCCCGAGCTGCTGGAATTACAGGTTTGCACCACTGTGCCCAGATTAGATTACATATTTGTAGTGTATTTGTTTCCTCTATTTTTCTGTAAATGGACAGTAGTTCCAGAGACTGAATCAGAGTCAGACCTGATTGTTCTGACAAGAATGCCTCATAGATGGTGTTGTACTTCTATTAGGCTATATATAARGTCTGGTTGTTTCTGTTTTGGTAATGTTAGCAGCCATTAATGATCATTTTCTAGGTTTGTTATTTAATCAAGGGTTGCCAAAACTGTGACAGTCTGTCAGTTCTTTATTGATTAACTAGGCATTTTCTCAGAAGAAAAACTTCCTTTATTATTTATCTATTTATTTATTTAGTGGTACTGGGTTTGAACTTAGAGGCCCTCTACTACTGAGCCATGCCCCTAACCCTTTTATTTAGGGTCTTACTAAGGTGCTAAGGCTGGCCTCAAATTGTGATCCACCATGCCCAGCTAAAACTTTCCTTATCAATCATTTGGATATATTGAGGAACAGTTCACATAGAAAAAACATAATAAATGTTTGATTCTTTTCATTTATTTACTGTTACTCAGGGTTGGTTCTGTTAGTATCCTTCAGAGGTGCACAATGAATTACTTTCTGCCCAGTTTTTTAATTTAAAAAAAATTGGGGGGGGGATACTGGGGGTTGAACTCAGGGGTACTCAGCTACTGAGCCATAACCCCAGCCCTATTTTGTATTTTTTTTAGAGACAGGATCCCACTGAGTCACTTAGTGCCTTGCTTTTGCTGAGGCTGGCTTTGAACTCTCAATCCTCTTGTCTCAGCGTCCCAAACTGCTGGGATTATAGGCATGCACCATGGCACCTGGCTTATCCAGTAATTTTAAAGGTGTATAATGAATTTTGGTTTTTGTCTTAATCAAATGATTGTATTGGTTCTTTCCTTATTTCAATGTGGCGATCCTGTGTTGATGTATTTATCATTATATTCTGTKTGTGTGTTTGTGTGTTTTGAGATGGGGTCTTGCTGTGTTGCTTAGGCYGGTCTTGAACTCCTTGAATCCATGGGACCTTCCTTCCTGTCTCAGCCTCCTGTGTAGCTAGAACTATTGGCACACGCCATTGTGCCCAGCTCTTGGTATGTACTTGGACCTTTCAGTCACCTCCTAGTTAATGCAAAACTTGTTTCCATTTTTTAGGTTCATCTAGAAATTAATGATCTAAAACTCATTTCACAAGAAGCAGACAGTCCTTCTGACAGTGGACAAGGCAGCTGTGAAACAACTAGGTCCTTGAGTGAAAAAGGTTTGTAATATTTAGTACTTTAATTTTAGGAATRGAGTGTGGGAGCCTGGGTTATAATGGATTATATTAACTTCGTTATTGTCTTGACTTATTGAATTATTAATTATTAAGTTATTAATAAGTCAGTTATTAATAAGTCAATTATTACCATGTCTGTTGTTTATTATAAAAGTAAAATAATAAATAATAGTGCTTATGTCTTTTTGAAAATATTCCTTTCTGTTATATTGATGAATTTGTAAAATATCCAGTAGCTATCACACTGCCTGGTTAAATGCATTTATTCTTTAATAAAAGTATTTTTAACAAGTACCAAAAGGATTAGAACAATTTTACACATTGTAAATATATATAATTACATTTTTCAGCCAGAGGCATTTCTCTTTAGAAAATGTTTTTCAAAATATATTTTTAGATATGCTTTGCTACAATATGTTCTTAATGATAGTTACATAATTTCACAAGGAGATATATCACTTGTATAATTGAATATATTTTTGAGTGTAGTGGGACTAAGAGGAAGGTCAATTACTTGTATACTTTTCTTTTTTCAGCACTTGGAATCGTACCCATGGACACTATACCACTGAGCTACATCCCTAGACCTTTTTTTAAAGAAATTTTTWAAAAAAATTTTTTATTTTGAAGTAGGGTCTTGTTAAATTGCTTAGGCTGACCTTGAACGAGATCCTCCTACCTCAGTCTTCCCTTGTTGCTGGTGTTATAGACATGCACCACCAACCCTAGCTGGTTGTATACCTTTAAAAATATTGTTTTTCTTTCAGATTCAGATGAAGAAATATTTGTGAGTAAGAAATTGAAAAGCAAGAAGGTGCTACAAGACAGTGATTCTGAAACAGAATACACAAATGTCTCTCCAGAAAAAACTACCTATGACAGTGCTGAGGAAAATAAAGAGAATTTATATGCTGGAAAAAGTGGAAAAATTAAAAGGGTTTACAAAACTGTGGCAGACAGTGATGAAAGTGATATGGAGGAGTCTTCGTATCAGGAAACTCTTGAAACCCAGGTGACATCTTGCTTAGAACTGAGTCTCCAATCTGGAAACTCTGTAGAACTTACCATCGGTAGAAAGATTTCCAAAAAGCCCATATGTGAAAAAGAAGTAACAGAAGGAAAAACAAAAATAAAATCAAAGAGAAGACTTGAGAAAGAGGAGAGAAAGATGGAAAAAATTAGACGGCTAAAAAGGAAGGAAATAAAAAATAAGGTATATTATTTTATTTTAAAACTCTGATGTAGTCTTTTCAAGGTTATTTTTAAGACATTTTTGTTTTTAATTGACACATAGTAATTGGACATAATTGTGGAATACCATGTTGTATTTTCATACATGTATACAGTGTATAATGATCAGAGCAAGTGTTCTACCTCTGAGCTATGACCCCAGTCCCCCCAGGCCCTTTTATTTTTTATTTGAGACAGTCTCACTAAATTGTGAAGTCTAGCTTTGAACTTGTGATCCTACTGCCTCATCCTCCCAAGCTGCTGGGATTATAGGCATGTGCCACCAAGGCCAGCATATCATCTTCAATATGTAGCATTTCTTTGTGTTAGGAACATTCAAAATCCTCTCCATAATTTATTTTGAAATATTCAATTAATAGTCACCCATAAATGTCCTATCTTCACTGATCTCCCACACCCTTCCCAGGTGCTGGGTAACACTATTCTAAGTTGGTGCAAATGACAGAATTTTATCTTTTCTATGGTTAAATAATGCCGTTGTGGATACATGCCATATATATGTATATTATATGTATGTCGGGTACTGAGGATTGAACCCAGGGCCTCATCATACTAGGCAAGCACCCCATGACTGAAATATACCCACAACACTTTTTATTTCATTTTGAAATAGGGTCTCACTAAGTTGCCCAGTCTGGTCTTGAATTTGTGATCCTCCTGCCTCAGCTTCTTGAGTAGCTGGTATTACAGGCATGTACCATTTCACCCAGCTACCATTTTCTTATCTATTCATTGAGATACTTTTTTCCTTTTGTTGTGGTGGGGATCAAACCTAAGGCTACCTCACACATTCTAGGCAAGTGCTCTATCACTAGCCTAAGATATACATTAGAGAGTCATTTGCTTTTTCTCACATAGAATAACATTTTGGAAAAAGTGGCTTTCAGTTATTAGGGTAGTTTCTGCACTCAGCATATAGCTTTGAATCGACTGCTTTGCATAGAGACTAATAGGATATGTGTTTTATTTATTCATTTATTTATATATTGGTACCAGGGATTGAACCCAGGGATACTTAACCACTGAGTTAAATCCCCTTCCTCCCCTTATTTTTTAATATATTTTTTTAGTTGTCAGTGAACCTTTATTTTATTTTATTTATATGCAGTGATGAGAATTGAACCCAGTGCCTCACACATGCTAGGCAAGTTCTCTACCTCTGAGCTATGACCCCAGTTTTCCCAGGCCTTTTATTTTTTATTTGAGACAGTCTTACTAAATTTGAAGTTTGGCTTTGAACTTGTGATTCTACTGTCTCATCCTCCTAAGCTGCTGGGATTACAGGCATGTGCCACCATGGCCAGCAGGATACACATTTTACTTACTGTTGTGGATATGTAGAGGACACTTACAAATAAACAAGTTTCTGATTTTCTTTGTGAGGACCTGAAGTAATTCATCCCTCATACCCCCAGTACTGGGAATTGTACCAGTGGGTACTCCTACACTGAGCTATAGCCCCCAATCCTTTTATTTTTTGAGACAGTCTCTTGCTAAATTGCCTGGACCGGCTTTGAAATGGGGATCCTCCTGCCTCAGCTCCCTGAGTTGCTGGGATTCTAGGTGTGCACTATCATACCCTACCCTTTTTTTTTTTTTCCTGTTGTACTGGGGAGTGAATCCAGGGCTGCTTAACCACTGAGGCACATCCCCATCCATTTTTTCTATTTAGAGACAGGGTCTCGCTGAGTTGTAGTGCCTCGTCATAGTTGAGGCTAGCTTTGAACTCGGTATCCTCCTGCCTAAGCTTCCTGAGCCATTGGGATTATAAGCATGCGCACCATGCCTGGCCCTCTTTGTTTTTTGTTTTGACAAGATCTCTAAATTATCGAGGCTGGCCTTCAGTTTGTGATCTTTTTGCCTCAGCATGCCTGGCTGAAACGAGGATTTTTTAAAAAAAATARTTTTTAGTTGTAGATGGACACAATACCTTTATTTTTATTTATCTACTTTTATGTGGTACTGAGGATCGAACCCAGTGCCTCACACATGCCAGGCAAGTGCTCTACCACTGAGCTACACCCCAGCCCAGGAGGATTTTTTTAATGCATCCCTCAACCAAAGTTTGTTTGCTAACTAGAAAAATCATCCTTATGTTTTGTAATAAGTCAATAAGTAATTAGTTGACATTTCAAAAAATATTTATTTATTAAGTTAATTTTGAGTAGTTATATAAAAAACCCACAGCTTGGACTTCAAAGGATAACTGGGTTCAGATCCAGTAAGAAGGTTCTAGAAGCTGTGTATTTGTTGATGAAAGCTGGGCTTTTTCTGCTTGATCCAAATTACCATATATGTTGTGAAATGTTGGATTTTAAAATGATTGAATTATGTTTTTTCTTTATGCATTATCCAGGAAAATGATGTAGAACATTCATTTAATGACAGTGGCTGTCTTCTTGCCGATAAAGACCTTTTTGAAACGGGTTTGGAGGAGGAAAATAACTCTCCATTGGAAGATGAAGAGTCATTAGAATCAATAAGGGCAGCTGTGAAAAACAAAGTAAAAAATCACAAGGCAAGTAAAACATGGTTACAATAAGTTCTAACCAACTACTTCTAACATTTACTTTTTTTTTTTTTGAGAATTTTTTTTAGTTTTCAGTGGACACAACATCTTTATTTATTTTTATGTGGTGCTGAGGATCGAACCCAGTGCCCACGAATGCCAGGCAAGCGCACTACCGCTTGAGCCACATCCCCAGCCCTACTTTATTTTTTTGATCTCCAGTTGCAATTTACTTTCTCTCTCTCTTTCTTTCTTKCTTTTCTGGAGATTGAACCCAGGGGCACTTTACTACTTAGTCATATCCCCATCCCTTTTTATTTTTTACTTTGAGCAGGGTCTTGTTAAATTGCTTAGGGCCTCACTAAGTTGCTGAGGCTGGCTTTGAACTTTCGATCCTCCTCCTCAGCCTCCTGAATTGCTGGGATTATAGGTGTATACAACCATGTTCAGCTTTACTTTTTTTTTTAAATGAAGAAAATCACATGTTGATGGGTTTCAGTATTTTAGCTGTTAATTTTGGAAAATTACAGTACAAATGATGTGCTAAATTGTTTGGTTATTACCCTTGTAGGAATATTGAAGGAAGGCATGGGGATGTAGCTCAGTGGTAGATACTTGCCAAGTTTGCATGGAGTCCTGGGTTCTTTGATCCCCAGTATCATATACACAAAGCATAACTGCTCTTCCTAGGATTTTATTAGCTCTCTATAAGTCATTGCCCCTCTTGAGAGAATTATGTAAGCAATGGTATAAGAAATGAGGATCCAAATTCCATTTGAAATATCTAATTTGTGCTCTGTATAGTGTTATATGTCTGTAATCCCAGCTACTTCAGAGGCTGAGGCAAGAGGATTGCAAGTTCAAGGCTAGCGTGGGCAATTTAGCAAGAGTCTGTCTTAAAATAAAAAATGAAAGGGGCTTGGAATATAGCTCAGTGGTACAATGTCCCTGGGTTCAATCCCCAGTACTGGGGGAAGGAGACATAATTTGTTTTCTAAGCATAACTGGATGCTGTATGTTTAAAATTTTCTATTTGATAGAGAATAAAAATAAAATTTTCTATTTGAGATTTATTATTAATGTAGCATAATGTAGTAAAAACATCCTCTGAGTTTAGATTTTTTTTTTTTTTTGCAAGGGGTACTAGAGATTGAACTCATGGACACTTAACCTCTGAACCATAATCCCAGCCCTTTTTATTTTTTTATTTTGAGACAGGGCCTCTCTAGYTTGCTTAGGGCTCACTAATTTGCTAAGGCTGCCTTTGAACTTATGATTCTCCTGCCTCAGCCTCATGAGCTGCTGAGATTACAGGTGTGTGTCACCATGCCCAGCTTGGGTTTAGTTTTTATTCTCACATTTAAAAATGAAGTTTAAAATCTTTTTCAGAAAAAGGAAGCATCTTTAGACTTGCAACAAGAAGAGAGTGAGTTATCAAAAGGCATCATGAAGAAGGTAAAGTAGAGCCCTGTGTAGAAATTACATTGATCTGTTTCCACAGGAGATTGTGGGTTTCTCAAAGATAAATATTTTATCTTGTCTGTCTTATTTTCCTGATATTCAGCATATTGCTATGTACATAGTAGGAACACAAATATGGATTGGATTGAATTAATATTCTGAGACTTGTAAATAAATGTGCTCCTTGAGTTTATATTGTATTATTAGTGCTTACTGTTCCTTCTCCTTTTTTCTTGGAGAGAACAAACTCTAGAGGAATGAATAGCTGTCTTTCTGGACAACACCATTAATATAGTCTTACTTTTTGTTTTCTTTAAGGAAAGAAAGGCAGCCAAGTTAAGTAAGGAAGCATTAAAAAAACTGCATAGTGAGACTCAGCGCCTTATTCGAGGTAATGCAAACTAGTAGGGTGAAGTTTAAGGAAAAATTACAATTTTTTTGTAAGTTCAACTGGATGTCAGGGTTGTTGTTTTTTTGTTTATTTGTTTTGTTTTCTTTTCCCCACTCCTAATATAATATGAACTCAGATAATTATATCAAGTTTAGAATTGATCTTTGTGAGTAGCCATCGTTCTAAAGCCTTTAGAACATTAATGTAWACTGAGAAAACTTGTAAAACTATAATGGAGGTAAGGAAAAAACTTTTTAATATAAAAAGGTCACTTTGGGGGCTGGGGTTGTGGCTCAGTGGTAGAGCACTTGCTTAGCRTGTATGAGGCACTAGGTTTGATCCTCGAAAAGTATCTGTTAAAAGGCATAACAAAGTGACTTTTTAAAAAAAATCTGGTTGAACATCAATGCTTTTTAAAATCCTGTTCTTTCAAGTACAAATGCTTGTGTTTACAGAGTATTTACAGTTTCAGTCTTATCCCTATATTTTGAGGCCCAACGGCTGTCTGGTTGCAATAGTGATCAAAGATAATGACACAACAAAAAGGAAAGCCCTGCTTGGACCTGTCCTCCACTTCCCTTGGAGTGCTTTAAAGGCAGGCTGGCCTTCATTGTAATAAATGGGTCTTGATTAACAAATGACTAGGTCACTGTTTTCTATGGGGCCCAGTTAGAACTTGGCAGTTTTGGCTGCTGCCTATATATTCTATGTTCTGAAAATTTCTTTGAATAATGACTTGCAACAAAAGGCTGAGACAACACCAGGAAAAAACTTTTTAATGGTTGTCTATGCATYGATTACATCTGGATCCCTGTAGCAGGGTTTTTTGTTTTGTTTTTTAATATAAGGACTTGCTTTGTTACTTAAGCTTCTGGGCTCAAGCAATACCCCAGATGTCCTCCTGAGGAGCTGGGACTATGCCCTGCACTCAGCTTAGAAGATTTTCAATATATAAAATTTTAGGCCCCACAAAGATTCTGATTCGATAAGTTATAGGAGCTAAGAATCTGTATTTCTGGGCTGGGGATGTGGCTCAAGCGGTAGCGCGCTCGCCTGGCATGCGTGCGGCCCGGGTTCGATCCTCAGCACCACATACCAACAAAGATGTTGTGTCCGCCGAGAACTAAAAAATAAATATTAAAAATTATAAAAAAAAAAAAGAGATAAAAAAAAAAGAATCTGTATTTCTTAAAAACTTCCAGGATTGTTTTGATTATAGTTAAATTTAAAAACCACTGGTCTTCAAGGAGCTCTTTTGTAGTCAGCTCCTGCTTATGTTAGAGGCAGGATTTTTTTTCTATTTCTGGTGATAGATTTGGTTCTAGTGTTTTGTTAACTGAATATGAAGTTACATTTCAGAATATACAGTGTATATATTTGCTTGTTCTGTTCCATTTTCTAGAATCTGCACTTAATCTTCCGTATCATATGCCTGAGAATAAAACTATTCATGATTTCTTCAAACGTAAACCCAGGCCCACCTGCCAGGGAAATGCCATGGCACTTCTGAAGTAAGAGCCCTCTTTTCTTGTTGATTATATTCTTCATGAACACTCAGTTTTGTGGCAAATATCTGGTGTAAAAAGTTTGGATTCCCCACTCTCTTTAAGCTGATTTAACTTATTCTAAGGGATGAGAATGTTTTAAGGTAATTTTAAATTCCAGCTCATTTTCCCTTCTCTAGGTCATCAAAGTATCAGCCAAGCCATCACAAAGAAATTATAGACACTACAAATATAACTGAAATGAATGGTGACCACCATAGCAAAGATTCTGAGCACACAACTGGTGCAGAATATGAAAGAGAAATTAATGCATTTACTGTGGTTTCAAAAGAAGCTGAAATCACTACTCGGTCAGATGAAGCTTGCAGTAAAGATCTGATAAGAAGTGAAGAAGTAGCAGTTCAGGAGAAAAAGAAGCAGAGTGATGCTAGATCTTCACCTGGGGACAGCTCAGTGTCACAGGAGGAAAGCAGCTTCCTTAGGAACAAGGCCGGTGAGGAGTATCAGATTGGAGGGCTAGTGGCATCTGAATCTCATGCCTTGGAGGGAGTAGATGACCTGAAACAGACTGAAGAAATAGAAGAGAAAGTGGAAGAACCCATGCAGCAAACTAAGTCGGCAGTTGTACCACCTGAAAAAGTTCGAAAATTCACTCTGGATAGACTTAAGCAATTAGGAGTAGATGTTTCCATTAAACCACGGCTGGGTGCTGATGAAGATTCCTTTGTGATACTTGATGAACCTGGAACCAACAGAGGTAATGTTTTAAATTATGGGGAGTTGCCTTGAAGTGACAGTTACCTTGGCAGCTTTCTATTTTTTAGCCTCTGTGGAGGACAGGGAATGAAGGAAAAGCCAATAATTACACATGATCTTATTCTACAGAGGTAAAAGATAGGGAGAGAATTCCACTTAGAAAAATTCAGCGGAATATCAGAATGTTTTAAACCTTTAAAATGGAAGTCTGTGTTTTGGAATTTAAGAATTTTTTATAGCCTTTGCAATCTGAATGCCTAAATTTTTCTATGTTCCTGTGTCCTTCAAATGTAAACCCAGGCTCACTGGCCAGGGAAATGCCCTGGCATTTCTGAATTAAGAACTTCTTTTCTTTATTCTTAAGTCATTCATAAAAACATTTTTCAGTTTTTTACAATGAAAGAGAAACATTTTGGTTCACTTAAATTGTCTGTAAAACTGAATTTTTTTCCTACTCATTCAACAAATATCTACTACATGCAAGATGCTGTTGAGCAAAGCAATTTAACCCTGACACTTATCGTACACTTGAGATGCATACATAGTCTAGCAYCAGAGATAAGAAGTACTCAAAAAAACAGTAATACAAGGGAGAAAGTTGTGACATCTTTCATAATGAACCTGTAAGTTGTCCCTTGGTATTGGAAGGGAATATATTTTTCCCATCCCCAACCAAGGATATCCAAATTTGCCAATGCTCGAGTCTTGTAAATAAAATTACATATTTGCATCTAACCTMTGACATGGTTCCCAAGTACTTTAAATCATTTCTAGATTATTTGTGATAATATATAAATGCTCTGTAAATAGTTGTATTGTTTAGGGAATAATAAGAAGAAAAAGTTTATACATGGTTAGTACAGATGCAATTTTCAAGTTTTTTCGAGCAGAGCTTGGTTGAATCTGCAGATCCAGAAAGAACCTCTGGATATATAGAGCTATCATCAATAATTGGAAAAAATTGAATAACACAAAGAAAAGGGAAAAGTATTCTTTTCTGAAATAAACATTTAGAATAAAATGCTATGGAAATTCAGAGGAGGGATGAGTTTCTTCCAAGGGTGGTTAAAGGAAGGCTTGGGGAGTAGGCAGATGTAACTACTTTTTCCCTGCCTTCCCTTTATACTATGAGTTGGAAATCTCCTGCCTTGTGCTCCTTTTTATCCCTAGTGTTTTCTTAGTGGATGAGACGTTGTAGGCATTTGTACTTATTGAACAGATGAATGATCCCCTCCACACTGAATTTGGGTATTACCACAAGTTGAGTTGGCCATTCCCTCCTCTGTGTTGAGGCAGCATGGCATAGTGGTTATAGGTTTAGACTATAGTAAAACCAGGGTTTGAATATGGTTTTTACTAGGAATTGTTCAACCTTAGATATGCTTATTGAACCTTTCCAATCCATCTTTTTTAACAAAAAAATGAAATAAGAGGTATATGCCTCATGGGCTATAGTAATTTTTATTGACATAATTCAAATGGATAGCATAAAGAACCACTCAAATAGTGGTTACTGCTTCAAATTATTTACACTAAGACCCTCCTTGATTAAACAGATTTTTGTTGATAGGTGCTGTGTCAGCCACTATGTCTGCTGTGTAAAATATGCTCGGTGAGTCTTTGTTGGTTGGATGGACTTGGTAGAGTTAGAGAGAAGGACATTCTTGGAAAGGAAAGAAAGGGTTCCTCATGGTGCATATTGGGAGGAGGTGAAAGTCAGTTTGGTTGGAGCTGGAGATGTGGAGGGGTTATGTAACAGAATTAGCTTAACTTCATTAGAAGCTTGAATATAAGCTGCTTCCCAGAACATTAATGGAAAAACATGGGACTAGAAGTTATCAGTTCCAGAATCAGAAAAGGAGACCAATAATTTCTTGTTACTTGATGAGACACGGCTAAATTTTGTTATGAGAGATTAAAAGTTACCTAAACTGTTTTGGACTGAAAGAAAAGACTTTTTTKGGGTACCTACACTATTCCATACCTTTTTTTTGTATGTGAGGTACTGGGGATTGAACCCAAGGTCTTGTGTGCTAAGCTATATCCCCAGCTCTCCTGGGGATATTTTATTTTATTTTGAGACAGGGTCTCCTTAGGTTGTCAAGGCCAGCCTGAACCTTGTCATTCTCCTGTCTCTACCTCTTGAGTACCTGAGATTATAGATACACACTGCTATGTCTAACTACCATAATAAGAGGTTTTGGTTTTTGTTTTTGTACCAGGGATTGAACTCGGGGACACTTAACCACTGAGCCACATCCCCAGACCATTTTTTATTTTTTATTTTGAGACAGGGTCTCCTTAGGTTGTCAAGGCCAGCCTGAACCTTGTCATTCTCCTGTCTCTACCTCTTGAGTACCTGAGATTATAGATACACACTGCTATGTCTAACTACCATAATAAGAGGTTTTGGTTTTTGTTTTTGTACCAGGGATTGAACTCGGGGACACTTAACCACTGAGCCACATCCCCAGACCATTTTTTATTTTTTATTTTGAGACAGGGTCTCTCTAAGTTGTTGAGGCTTCCCTTGAACTTATGATCTTCTTGCCTCAGCCTCCAAKTTGTTGGAATTACAGGCATGTGCCACCATACCCAGGAACAGAAGACTTATTAGTTATGTTTCTTAATTTTCATAGCCTCAGGTATTATTTTGCAAGATGAAGAAGCAGGCTCAAAGAGGTTGAATAATTTTTCCTAGCACTATACTTGGCTTGTTTAAGAACCTAGCACAATGCCTGCCACATATTGGACACTTATTTTTAACTCAAAATATGTTTTCCTTTAGAAATAATTGACATGGGGGCTGAGGATGTGGCTCAGCAGTAGTGCTCTTGCTTAGCATGCACAATGCCTTACGTGTGATCCCTAGCACCACAAAAAGAAAGAAAATTGAAATTGATGTGAGCTGGGCATAGTGGTGAACCCCTGTAATCTCAGCAACTCAGGAGGCTGAGACAGGAAGATCACAAGTTCAAGACCAGCCTCAGAAATTTAGCAAGGCTATAAGCAACTTAGTGAGACCCTGTCTCAAAATAAAAAATAGAAAGGGCTGGGGTTGGGGTAAAGTAGTTAAGTGCCTGCCCCTGGGTTAAATCCCTGGTACCAAAAAAAAAGAAAAGAAAAGAAAAGAAGGAAAAAAGAAAAAAGAAATTGACATGAAAACTGGTTTATACTTGAGGCTTTTCCATGATATTCTGTATATGAAGTTAAAACCAACATTCATTTATTCATGCAATAAGCTTTTTCTTATTTAGCACTATGTTGGGTACTGTGTATGCAAGTAAGACATAGTTCCTACTTTCAAGGAAATTAAAGTGTAGTAGGAGTGATAGGTACTAGGTAAACAGACTATTAGAATCCTAAAAGGTAAGTACTATGACAAAGGTATGCCTTTGTGAAGGTAAGCCTAGAAGAAGTGTAGCATACTTGGATTAGGTAATCAGGGGAGCTTCTGAAAGGAGTGAAGTCCTGAAAACTGAGGAGATACTAAGGCAGAGAGGGATAGCTTTTTTGGTGGAGAGGACAGAATTGCAAAAGACAGATATAATAGAAAGCACTGAAAGTTCTGGCTGGTAAAAATGACAATTTCAAGGGGATTGGTGACTAGAGCCTAGATCCTGCAGGACTTTTAGGCCATGCTAGGAGTGTGGATTTTTTAGCCTTTTCTTAGTGGGGGACCATTGAATAGTTTTTAGCATGGGAAAGGACCCAATCAGATATGCATTTGAGGAAATTCAATCAGGTAACTGATGTGGAAGACACATTGGAAGGGGTTTAGAGCAGAAACATTAGAATCAACAATTTCTTTTTTCTTTTTTAAAAGAGAGAGAGAGAGAATTTTTTAATATTTATTTTTTAGTTTTCGGTAGACACAATATCCTTATTTTATTTTTATGTGGTGCTGGAAGATCGAACCCAGCGCCCCGCGCATGCCAGGCGAGCGCKTTACTGCTTGAGTCACATCCCCAGCCCTAGAATCAACAATTTTTTTCCTCATATGGAGTAAGGTTTCCATGGGAAAATGCAGTAGGTTCAAATTTTTTGGCGTGTGAAACATTACTTATGTGTCTTACAATAGCCTAGGGGGTAATTTCTATTTCTAATTCCTCTACTCTCTGGACAGAACAATGGAAATAAGAATTCTAGACCAAGTTCCTGGTATAGTCTTGATCTGGAGCAGAGATATTTCACTTGAAGAAGAGATGAGAGGTTCTAGGAAAAGATTGATGGAGGGAGAGGGGTTTGAACCTGGCTTTTAGGATGAGGAAGGTGATTAAGTCTTATAATAAAGGGTAAAGGAAGCAGTTGCTGTAGTGGATTGAGAGATGAAAAACCTTGAGGCTGTTCACTTTCTCTAGTTATAAATGAAAATAACTTCTGCCTCGTTATTTTAGGTCCTGAGTAATCTTCCTACTCACCCATTTGTTTTGTTCTATTGGCATCAGTAATGATCTGCCTATTTCTGCTCCCTTTCCACTGCAGCCACCTATTGGTTCCAACTTTACTGATCACTTCAAAACAGGAGACAGGCTTACTACTTCTCTCCCTTTTCTTTTGTTTGTAATGTAAACATACCATTCTTTGGAGTTAGGTTTTTGCTGCTAATAATGTTAGGGACTCAGGATAAAAATATTTTCTTTCAGCTCTCTCTTTTTTTTTTTTTTAAACAGTGATCATCTAGGGAAAGAAAAAACATATCTAGATACCAATCACTAAACTACTAAAGTGATTTGAGTACATTTTAAAAATTAACCAGCCATGTGCAATGGTCCGTGCCTGTAATTGCAGTTACTTAGTAGACTGAGGCTGAGGCAGGAAGATTTTAAATTTTTGAAGTTGTCAGCCTACTGAGACCCTGCCTTAAAGTAAAAAGGACTGGAGATGAAGCTTACTGCAGAGTACTTGGCTACTATGTGTGAGGTCCTGGATTCTGTTCCCAATATCACCTCCCACCAAAAATATTTAATAATAATTAACCAAACTTTGAAGTCTTAAGTCATTGCCATGAAAGAGAGAAACCCACATGAAAATATCCAATGTCCCTCATCCCCAAAAGGAGCTTTTTTTTTTTCCCTTTATGATCTCTTTATAACTACTAGATCTTACCAGCTAGCTCTCTCAGTACAGACCCCAAATTCCACAGTGGTATAAAGTGTTCAGCAGAGTGGGTAGGAATGGTGCTAAGTAGCAGCGGTTGGCTGAGGGAAGAAAATTGTAAGAATAGCAACAAGGAAGAGAATAAAGGCTCTGTTGTGCTAGAGCACTAAGCTTGCTGCACCCATTTATATATCAGTTGGGTGTGTGATACAGAGGCTACCAGTAAGTGAATAGTTATAGCAGTCCATTACTTACTTTCTGATTGTGCCACTTGTGTGTTCTAGTTTAACCAAGAAAACCCCTTTTTTTTCTAGCCCGCTACTRAGTTATATCACTGACTAGATTGTCATTTTCTCCCCCTGCCTTTTTTTTGACATTGCCCATATGTAGTCAGATTGCCACTAGTGAAATGTTCAAAATAGGGAATTGAAGAAATAAGATGAAATTGGGCACAGTGGTATACATTTATGATCCCAGTGACTTGGGAGGCTGAAGCAGGAGGATTGCAAGTTCGAGGCCAACCTCAGCAATTTAGCAAGTGCTGGCCCCTGGGTTAAGACCTTTAGTAACTTAGTGAGACTTTGTCTCAAATTTAATAAATAAATAAATAAATAAATAGGGGGCTATGGATATAGCTCAGTAATAGAGTACCTCTAGGTTCAATCCCCAGTATGGAAAAAAAAAAGAGAGAAAAGAATAAAAGAAAGAAAAAAGAAGGAAAGTTAAGAATTAGATATTTCTATCAGCTTAATACTTATAAGAAGAATTGCTATATATTTAGAACTTGTAAGCAATTGTAAATTTCTATCTTAAAAATCTCATTTTTGAAACATTGAGGAAGAATGTTAAGTTGTATGAATTTGATGCAGGTGTTAGCAAAAAAAGAGTTTCTCTTTGTGTGTATGATTTTTTTCTTTAACACTGTAGTGCTTAATAGGAATCTTGAAGGAAAGAGCTTGAACTTGGCAAACTGACAGACTTATTTGCATTTGGGTTTAGAACTGGAAGCCTTAAAGCAGCGTTTCTGGAAACATGTTAATCCAACAACCAAGCCCAGGGCTGGCCAAACAGTGAAAGTGAACATCATAGTGAAAGACTTGAGCACTGATGGAAGGGAAGAGCTAAAGGCAGATGTGGTACCTGTGACTTTGGCAGCTGAGAAACTGGATGGAGCAAGCCACACAAAACCAGGTATTTGAGTTTTCATAGCTATTGAAGATCCTATAATGAAAAGTTATAGAATCTTTTTCCTTGGAGACTTTGGAGAGTGGATAGCAATATCTCAGTAGGATTCATATACAGCACATTTAGAAGTGTGGGGTGGGAAAATGACTTTTTTCTTAAACTAGCATTTGTCAAAAGCTTATTGCTGAGCATGTTAGCACATAACTGTAATCCCAGCTACTCAGGAGAGTGAAGCAGAGGATTGCAAGTTTAAGGCCAGTCTCAACAATTTAATGAGATCCTATCTCAAAATAAAAATAAAAAGGGCTGGGATGTACCTTAGTGGTAGAGTACCTTTGGTTCAATACCAATATTTAAAAAAGAAAGAAGGAAAGAAATATTAATTATACAAAAATAAAAACATAGAGGGGGCTAGGTCTGTAGCTCAGTGGTAGATTGCTTGCCTTGCATGTGTAAGGCACTGGGTATGATCCTCAGCACGACATATAAATAACTAGATAGATAGATAGATAAATAATGTATTTTGTCCATGTGCAACTAAAAAAATAAAAATAAAAGATTTGTAATTTATTTAAAAAATAAATACATAGAAAGGATAAACAAGAAAAGTAATCTTCTATTAGATACAAATTCTATAACTATATTGTTTATCTGTCCATTAAACTCATTTCTTTTCATATATGTGTGTGTTGAAAACAATTCCCAGCCCCACCATAAAAAAAAAACCAGGAACACCAATAGTAGACTGGGGATGTAACTCAGTGGTAGAATGCTTGCCTAGCAGGTGCAAGGCTATAGGTTTGATTCCCAGCACTGGAAAAAAAGTAAATAAATAAAAAGGAAACAAACAAATGAACTAAAATAATAGTGTGATCATCCCATGCATGCATTCTGCTTTATAATCTACTTTTTTGTTCTAACAATGTATTGGAAACAGGTCTATTGTTCCTACCTCCACCTTGAAAACACAAGTAATATATCACATGGAAATAATTTAATTTAAAACACTAGGAAAAATGTATTATATGAAAAATTATTGTCCCCAAAGGTGACTGTTAATAATTCACGTATTCTTATAAGAAAAATTTTATGAATAATCCACTTTGTGTGTTTGTATGTGTCATTGGATATTCATTCTCTACCKACACTGTTCTAGCTGCTTTACGTACTTTATCTTGTTTAATTCTCACAACCTGTGAAGTAAATAATAATATCCTTGTTTTATACATAGGGAAACTGATATGCAGAGCACTCACAACACTTGCTCAAGTTTATATTGTTACTAAGTGGTAGAACCTGTAACCTAATCTACTCCAGGCTCAAATTCCCATTGAATTTCTTTTGTTTGGTGGGGAAGGGTACTGGGGATTGAATTCAGGGGCACTTGAACACTGAGCCACATCTCCAGCCCTATTTTGTATTTTATTTAGAGACAGGGTCTCACTGAGTTGCTTAGTGCCTCACTATTGCTGAGGCTGGCTTTAAACTCTTGGTCCTCCTGCCTCAGCCTCAGGAGCTGCTGGGATCACAGGCATGCGCCCTCRTGCCTGGCTCACATTATATTTCTTTTCATGCTTTTTTAACACAACTTAATATTCCATTGAATGAATACAATATGGTTTGTTTAACCGTGGTCCTAGTGATATACATCATGATTGTTCCAGTTTTTGGTCATTGCATCCAATGTTGTCTCTTAGTACCATATATATATTTTCTCTCTCTCTCTCTCTCTCTCTCTCTCTCTCTCACACACACACACACACAATTACATAATGGCCAGAAACTTCCTCCTCTTCTCCATCTTCCTTAGAGTCATCTGAGGATGCAGAATTCCTTACAGTGGAATTACTGAGTCAGAATTTAATATGTGTCACTTAATTGTCCTTTAAAATGGTTGCACTAATTTACACTTTAATCATAGTAAGAATTTGTTTTCCCTTGTTTTTTTTAATATTTATTTTTTAGTTGTAGATGGGCACAGTACATTTATTTTATTTTTTAATATTTATGTGGTGCTGAGGATCAAACCCAGGGCCTCACATGTGTTAGGCAAGTACTCTACTGCTGAGCCACAACTCCAGCCTCTTCCCTTGTTTTTTTTAGTTGTAGAGGGACACAGTACCTTTATTTTATTTATTTATTTATTTTATGTGGTACTTCACATGTGTTAGGCAAGTGAGCTACAACCCAAGCCCTCCCCTTGTTAATCATGGGTATTATAAAATTTTTTAATTTTGTCAAATGTCAGAAATTATCTTATTTTTATTTGTGTTTTTAATTAAACATTAATTAAGCATTATTTTCACATTTTTATTAATGTTTATTTTTCTGTGGACTACCAGTCCATATCTTTTGTTGATTTTACTCTTGTTTCTTTTTCTGTAATACAGGTAAGTTTATCAATGTTGACCATCATGGCTGCTGAGCCAGAGACTCTTAAAGCCCCATTCCCTCCTTTTACCCTCTTTTAAATGATTACTTTATAATCCCTGGGTGTAGAAATTTTCTTTGACACTTCGAATTATAATTTCTATGTGTTAGAATAACAAAACCTAGGATACTAAGGTCTTTTCGTGTTATGTGAGATAATACTAGGGATTGAACCCAGGGACTTTATCACTGAGCTTAATCCCCAGCCCTTTATTTTTTATGTTTTATTTTAAGTCAGAGTCTCACTCAGTTGTTGAGGCAGGCCTGGAACTTGAGATCCTCCTGCCTCAGCCTCCCAGGTCACCTGAATTATAGGTGTGTGCCACTATGCCTGGTGAGTACTAAGGTCCTTGGTTTTCCTTTTGGGACATGACTAGAACACTTCTAGAGTTGCCTAAAATGCCTACTTAATTATTGTTTTATATAGTTGATTGTTATGTGTAAAGCATTTCAACATATTTCTGTTCAGGTGAAAAGTTGCAGGTGCTAAAAGCTAAACTGCAAGAGGCAATGAAACTCCGAAGATTTGAGGAGCGCCAAAAGCGCCAAGCATTGTTTAAATTAGATAACGAAGATGGGTTTGAGGAAGAGGAGGAGGAGGAGGAAGAAATGACGGATGAGTCTGAGGAAGATGGAGAAGAGGAAGAAGATGAAGAGAAAGAAGCTGAGGAATTGGAGGAAGAGAAAGAAGTGGAGGGACTTGAGGAAGAGGAAGAGAAAGAAGCAGAGGAACTGGAGGAGGAGAAGGAAGAAGGCAATCAGGAGGTTTCTGGCCCTTATGTAATTTAGTAACTTGATCATAATGAATAAGAGAAAGAAAATCAGATATAAAAAAGTATAATAAGCATTTAAAATTGTATAAGGAATTTTAGCCATACGGAGATGGTAACTTATCTCATGAATACCTAAATCTTAGTACCTTTAATTCTGTCAGCATCACTGAGCACCTATAATTCACAGAGCTGAATCCTTGGCTTCTACTGGGTATGGTGGTACATGCTGGTAATTCTAGCTGCTCAGGAGGCTGAGATAAGAGGAGTGAGAGTTCAAATCCAGCCTTAGCAAAAGTGAGGCGCTAAGCAACTCAGTGAGACCCTGTCTCTAAATAAAATACAAAAAAGGGCTGAGGATGTGGATCAGAGGTTGAGTGCCCCTGAGTTCAGTCCCTGGTACCCACCAAAATAACTATAATAATGCTAATATTGAAAATGACTTTATATTAATATTAATTTTAACTTGTTTATTTGTTTTTCTCTATCTAGACTCAAAAGCCATCTTAATCTTGGTTGAGATGGAATAAATTATCAGGCAAGCAGAGGCCTTCCAAATTAATATCATACTTTTGTGAAAAAAGTATTTATAGAAGGACTTTCTTTTTTTTTTTTTTTTTTAAGAGAGAGAGGGAGAATTTTTTAATATTTATTTTTCAGGGTCTGGGGATGTGGCTCAAGCAGTAGCGCGCTCGCCTGGCATGCATGCGGCCCGGGTTCGATCCTCAGCACCACATACAAACAAAGATGTTGTGTCCGCCAAAAAAACTAAATAAATATTTTWWAAAAAATTTATTTTTCAGTTTTTCGGTGGACACAACATCTTTATTTTATTTTATGTGGTGCTGAGGATCGAACCCAGGGCCCTGTGCATACCAGGCAAGCACGTTACCACTTGAGCCACATCCCCAGCCCCTAGAAGGACTTTTTGTCCTTGCTCTATAGTATTGTTTTCTGCCCAGGAAGAATAGGTGATTATATGATTGTTAGGTATGAAAAAGCTTTCTTGTTTTTTTCATTAATATTTAACCCTGGGTCAAAGAAAAAGAAAGCAATGCTAAGCTGGGCAGCATATTTGAGGTCAGTAGTCATCCTGCAATTGTACTTTAATCATTTAACCTCTTATTACCTCAGGAAAATGATAATCAAGACTTCTTTCGTAATCTTATAACAATTTGGGGAGGGTAAAAAGGTATAGATATAAAAGAGCTCTAAAAGTGTTAAGGGGAAATTATGTTGATGATAATGGTCAAGTTTAGCTTTACAGATTTAAGATGTGACTTGTAACCAAGCAGCTTTATTTCAAATTAACAGTGAGATTTGCTTTTAAAGTTTTTAACTTGTATTATTCTGTTTTGGGGTGGCATGATTGGTAAAGAACGCAGAATTCCTTCTTGGTAGTGAAGATCTAGAACTCAAAGATGAGAAAGAAATGGACAAAGATAATATTGATGGCGGTAGTGAAATTGGCAAGTCCGTCGATCTTTCTGTTCCCAAGCCTCTCTCATCAGATTCTACCTTACTTCTATTTAAGGACAACTCTTCCAAGATGGGGTAAGTAACCCTAAGGAAATATAAAATTCCTTGAATTTTCCCCTTTGGTAAGAAATAGGAACAGATACAAACAGTTTACCTTCTTATTTTATAGTTATTTTCCTACTGAAGAAAAGTCAGAAACAGATGAAAACTCAGGAAAACAGCCCAGTAAACTGGGTAAGTGATTCTTACACAGAACTTAACTTTGCTTTTGTCCTCCAACTTTGATACTTAATTATTACAGTCCCATAAAGGTTCCTTTTTTTTTTTAATCTTTGGTACCAAGGATTGAACTCAGGGGTATTCAACCACTAAGCCACATCCCCAGCCCTATTTTTGTATTTTATTTAGAGACAGGATCTCATGGAGTTGCTTAGCAGCCTCACTTTTTGCTGAGGCTGGCTTTGAACTTGTAATCTTCCTGTTTTATCCTCTGGGATTACAGGCGTTTTCCACCTTGCCTGGCCAAAGTTTCCCTTTTTTTAATCCTAGAGACTTTCTGGTCTAACCTGTGGCAATGAGTTTATAAATTAGAATAATTTTCTTGGTCCCATTTTTGAAAAACTTACATAAATTTTCTTCATAGTGCACCATGGACATTTAATAGGCCCCTAGTGAATGCATGTTGATTGAGTGAAACACGAATTATTTCTATATGTAGGTCAAAGGAAGGTGTTTAATTAGAAAATGAGGAACGATTATAGGCATTAAGGCAGGGTGAGAAGAGAAATTTTRGGTGTCACTTAGCTCACAGTAATAAATATGACTATATAATGTATCATAGTATTGTAATTTAACTTAATGATTTGGAACCTGTGACTAGAGAGGTTTGCCTATGAATTTTACCTGTTTCATCTTTTTCCTAAACAATCCACCCTTATTTCTGTATTCTTGCACTTAAAAGATATTTCTCTTTCTTTAGATGAAGATGATTCATGTTCATTGTTAACAAAAGAGAGCAGCCACAATAGCAGTTTTGAGCTGATTGGCTCTACAATTCCATCCTATCAGCCTTGCAACAGACAAACAGGCCGAGGGACCAGTTTTCTCCCTATAGCAGGAGGATTCAGATCTCCTTCCCCTGGGCTGTTTCGAGCCAGTTTGGTCAGCTCAGCTTCTAAGGTAAGGTGGTAATAGTTTTTCTAATTCTCTCCTCCTTTTGCTTCCCACATTTCTAAATAAAGTGTGTCCCAGCCAACCAACTCCCACCTTCTTGGTACTGAGCTTATGTGTGTTCAGCTTTAAAAATCCACCCCCTTTGTGGATTAAATACAAGCTTCTTACTTTATTGGAGATATTTTTCTTTAGGCCTCTTTTTGCTATGCATTGTCCTTCTCAACTACAATTGCCTGAGAATATATGAAATATTGCAAATAGCAACTTCTGTTGTTGTCATGACACTGAATGACATTTCTGAAATGTTTTGTTAATGTTTGTTTTTGTTTTGGTGCCAGAGTTCAGGGAAACTGTCTGAGCCTTCACTTCCCATAGAGGATTCCCAGGATCTGTATAACGCCTCCCCAGAACCTAAGACACTTTTCCTAGGAGAAGGAGACTTCCAGTTCTGTTTAGAAGATGACACTCAGAGCCAACTGTTGGATGCAGATGGGTAGGTAGTTTTGTGTTTCTGTGGGTGGGAATGGTGCTGGGTACTGCTTAATTTTGTTTAAAAATAAAGTGAGCTTCTGTCACTCCATCTGTGCTTTCTCTTATGAGAAGGAAAAGGTGTACAGACCATTAGTAGTACATTCTACAAGTTTGAACAAAGTCTATCCAGAAAATAATGTAAATAACTCTTGCTGATATTCTGATCCTTTGATCTCTTCTTATTTGTAATACATAGATCTTGCATTAAAAGGGCATCAAATTTCTCTGTGTGCATACTACTCTGTTAGGATTGTTGTGTAGGACTGAGAATTCATGAATTGGTGGCACGTTATTGGATATGATACCAGTTCTATTCTAGTATTATCTGAAAACAAAAATTATCCAATTATTCTTTACATTTTCCTTTTTTGGGGGAGATGAAGGTATGGAACCCAGGGTCACTTTATTACTGAGCTACATCCCCAACCCTTTTTATTTTATTTTTTTATTTTGAGACAGGGTCTCACTAAATTGCTTAGTTGCCTTGAACTTATCTCAACCTCCTGAATCACTGGGATTACAGGCATGCATGGCACCTGACTACACTTTACCTTTTGAATAGAACTTTATTCTTTCATGAAACTTCCCCTACCCTTTTTAGATTAGTATGAAGTTAGAATCTTTTGTTTTATAGTTTGAAATTCAGCTTCTAACTGTGGTGTTGGAAATGAATTCAGAGTTTTTCACCTATTACCTTGCATCTTCTTTAGAAAATTTCTTACACTATTCTTTGTGCTTATAGGTTCTTAAATGTTAGAAACCACAGAAATCAGTACCAACCTTTGAAGCCTCAGTTGCCATTGGCCAGTATGGATGAGAATGCCATGGATGCCAACATGGATGAATTATTGGATTTGTGTACTGGGAAGTTTGCATCTCAGTCTGAAAAATGTCAAAGCAGGAAGAGTGACAAGAAAGAGAACATGGAGGAACTTCTAAATCTTTGCTCTGGAAAATTCACTTCTCAGGGTAAATGTCCAACAATAGGCAACAGGCTTACTATAGCCACATTTTTTTTTCTTTTTTGCTCCATTTTTTTGGTGATCCTGGGAATTGAACCCATAAGTGCTCTACCATGAGCTACACTGCCAGCCCTTTTTATTTTTTGAGGCAGGGTCTCACAAAGTTACTGAGATTGGCCTTGAACTTTCAGTCCTTTTACCTTGGCCTTCCAAGTAGCTGGGATTGTAAGTGTGTACACCATGCCCAGCTACCAGAGTCAAATATATTAAGTCAGTGTCATTGAAAAGAATCCATGAATCCTTAGGTGAAAATTTCCTAGAAAATAGGACTATAATGGAATCTTGCATGATGTTAGAATTCACTGTGTAGTTCCTGACATTTAGATCTTTACTTTCTTAGAATAGTAAAGTGTCAATTTAAGACTGCTTTAGTTTTGTCCATATCATGTCATTTATAATTAATTTGTGTACAAAATTTAGAACAATGTCTGGGATATAGTAAATTCCATATAAATGTTAACTTATTTTCTATCTATGCTCACATTCCCCCCAACACACACACCTTCTAGAATGTAAACTCTGTGAGAGAGTTGAGATCTATTTTGTTCATTACTGTTGCCCTGGTACTCAGCATATAGTAAGCATAAATATGGATTTTTTGAATGAATGGATGGTGAAGTTTTTGGCAAGTTTACCTTGGAACTGTATTGAGCTGGTATGTCTTTAGGTGGCTAGAAAAGAGGATAAAATTGTAATTTTTGGTAACAAAACTTTTTTCTTGTTGATGTAGATGCCTCCTCACTGACTCCGCTGGAATTGAGTAAGCAGGAAAAGGAGAACAGCATGGTTGATCCAATGGAAGAAGCGCTTGCTCTGTGCTCAGGTTCTTTCCCAACRGACAGGTGAGTCTCAGATTGGTGGAAATCTGAGAAGTTCTGGTCTTTTTGTAAAATACTAGAATCAGGTTTTCTAGGTTTAGTAATAACTGATCGTCTTAGAGGCTTAATATCTTGTCAGAGAGTCTTACAATGGATTTGAATTTAATATTTGCATAGTAATGAAATTGTAATACTTTGAAAATTAGCACTTAAAAAGGAAGAAAAAACATATGAAAGAKGCTTAACATCATTAGTAATTAGGGAAATGCAAATCAAAACCACAAGGAAGGCTGGGGATGTGGCTCAGGGGTAGAGCACTTGCCTAGCATGTGTGAGGCACTGGATTTGATTCTCAGCACCACATATAAATAAACAAACAAATAAATAAGCAAACCACATGATAAAAAATAAATCAGTAGTGTTAGAGAATATAAAGGAATGGAACCCTTGTGTTTTTTGGAGAGAATGTATAATAGTGTGGCTGCTATAGAAAGCAATATGATGATTCCCCCAAATTAAAAATAGATCTAGGTACAGTGGCACACACCTGTAATACCAGCAACTTGGGAGGCTAAGCCAGGAGGATTGTAAATTCAAGGCCATCTCAGCAATTTTGTGAGACTTTGTCTCAAAAAAAACAACAAAAGGGGTAGGAGTATAGTTCAGTGGTATAGCACCCCTTGTTTCAATCCCCAGAAAAAAATAAAATCATCATCATCATAAACAGAATTGCTATCTGATCTAGTGATTCCCCATCTTAGTATAGACTCAAAAGAAGTGAGAACAAGGACTCATGAGATATTTATACACCCATGTTCAAAGCAGCATTGTTCACAATAGCCAAAATATGGAAGCAACCCCATGACCTATTGACATATGAATGGATAAACAAAATGTGGTATATACAATGGCATATTTAACTTAAAAGGAAAAACATTTTGACACATGATACCACATGGATGGACCTTTAGGATATTATGCTGAGAACAATAAGCTAGTCAGAAAAAGAGAAATGCTGTTATGAGTCTGCTTATGTAAGGCACTTAGAGTAGTCAAATTCATGGAGGCAGAAAGTTAAATCATGGTTGCCAAGAGTTGGAAGGAGGAAGGAATGGAAAGTTGTTTGGGTATAATTTCAGTTTTTATTTTTCAGTACTGGGGAATGAACCCAGAAGCACTGTAAAACTGAGCTACATCCTACCCTTTTTAATTTTTTTATGTTGAGACAGTGTCTCCCTGAGATACTGAGGCTGGCCTCAAACTTGCAATACTCTTGCTTCAGCCTCCCTAGCCACTAGGATTATAGACCTGTACCACCACCTCCCACCCGAGTTTCAGTTTTAAAAGATGAAAAAAGTTTTGATTGTTTGAATAACAATGTAAATGTACTTAACACTACCAAATTGTATAGTTAAAAATGGTTAGGAGTCTAAATTTTATGTTATGTATTTTATCACAATTAAAACATTTTTTAAAAGGCAAAATATCTATCTCTGGTTTGTTGAAGAGATTATTTGTGTTGATAATATATTTTAAATTCTTAATTTAGCTTGTTGCTTGTAGTTTGCTTTCAAAACTTATTTATTGCTCGGCACAGTGGCTCTCACGCCTTTAATCCCAGTGACTTGGTAGGCTGAGGCAGAAGGATCACAAGTTTGAGGCCAGCCACAGCAAGGCCCTGAACTATCCAGGAAGGCCCTGTTTCAAAATAAAAAGGAATAGTGGATATAGCTCAGTGATATAGCAGTGCTGGGTTCAATCTCCAGTACCCCCCCCCCCCCGAAAAAACCTTGTTTATTGGGGCTGGGATTGTGGCTCAGAGGGAAAGTGTTCGCCTCGAATTTGTGAGGCACTGGGTTTGATCCTCAGCACCACATAAAAATAAAATAAAGATATTGTGTCCACCTATAACTAAAAAAATAAATATTAAAAAAATCTTCTTGGGCTGGGGATGTGGCTCAAGCGGTAGCGCGCTCACCTGGCATGCACGGGGCACTGGGTTCGATCCTCAACACCACATAAAAATAAAATAAAGATATGTGTCCACCTAAAACTAAAAAATAAATATTAAAAAAAACAAACAAAACTTCTTTATTAAAGCCATTTCCAGTGGCACACACCTATAATCCCAGTGACTCTGAAGACTGAAGCAGAAGGGTCACAAGTTCAAGGCCAACCTGGGCAATTTAGGGAGATCCTATATCAAAATAAATTAAAAAGGGCTGGGGATGTAGTTCAGTGAAAGAGCGCTCTTGGGTTCAATCCCCAGAACCAAAAAAAAAAAAAAAAATTCTAACATCTATTGGTTCATTGATCTGCATTATAGGGAGGAAGAAGATGAAGAGGAAGAATTTGGAGACTTTCAGCTTGTTCCAAATGAAAATGAATTTGATAGTGATGAAGTGAGTATAACTGAACTCTATGTTTTGCTGCCCTTAGGAATTTCTTTCTTGTCTGAGTTCTTGAGAATCCTGAGTTTAGCATTTTATCAAAAACAACAGTATCCCATAATGAGGCATGTGAGCATTTGTTTGTTTTTGGTGCTGGGAATTAAACCCAGGGCCTTATGCTTKCGAGACAAGTACTCTACCAACTGAGAAATAACCCCCAGCCCATGAGCAGAAGTTTCTAAATCCTATTTTTAATATTTTTTTTGTGTAAGGTCCTGGGAATTGAACCCAGGGCTTTATGCATGCTAGAGAAGCACTCTGCCACTGAGCAGTACCCCAGCCCCTAGGTGTTTTGTTTTGCTTTGTTTTAAATAGGAAATATAATATCAAATTTATATATACCTAAGACATGAGAGTATTAAACTTCTATAAAGCCTGTTTTTGTTAAGGGCACATCTTATTCTGCTTAACTGGGTGTGATAACTGTTTTTACAGGAGGAATACAGTGACTCTGGTAATGAAGATGATGAGGAAGAACTCCTGAAGCAATCTGAGAAGTTGAAAAGGCAAATGTAGGTACTACGTCCATTCCTTCAACTGCTAGAAAGTTCCCCTAATAATTGAGTTATATCATGCCATATTTTTTTTCTGAATTTGCTGGTTGTAGTTCTGTTTTTGTGGTTAACTTAGTTTAAATAAAATCCTTCTTCCACATGACATCTCTTGAGTACTTAAAGATGGTCATGTTTTCCTTAAGTCATGAGTATACTAAACCTCTCTAGTGTCTTCCAGAACTAGTAACATTTCTTGTGACAGTACTTTCAGTCTTATATCCTGGATATTCTCTATCTTCAAGTGTGGTCTGGTTATTTCCTTGAACTAGATGAATACTACTTATAATATGGCCAAAGATCTTAAGAGCTGAGCCATACTTTAAATCCTGAGGATCTAGTAGATAACTAAAGTTCTCTGGGACTTATTTTTTATGAATTGCTGTCGTTTGTGGTTTTTTTTTTTTTTTTTTTCCATTATAGTCTTGGGCAAATGACCCATTTTATTTTTGGAATTTTGGAATGTTTGTTGTTCTGATCATGAAAGTAAAACATTTATTTTAAGTATATTTAAAAGAATATAGAATGGTCTGGGCACAGTGTTTGGAGAGGTTGAAACTATAGGATCAAATTTGAGGCCAGCCTCAGCTACTTAGTGAGCCTCTGTCTCAGAATTTAAAAGGCTCAGGATATAGTTCAGTGATTAGAGTCCCCCCACTGGGTTCATTCCTCAGTACTAAGAAACACACACACACACAATCAAAAAGTATACAGAGGCCAGGTGCAATGGCACATGCCTGTAATCCCAGCGGCTCTAGAGGCTGAAACAGGAGGATCGCAAGTTCAAAGCCAGCCTCAGCAAAAGTAAGACTCTAAGAACTCAGTGAGACCCTGTCTCTAAATAAAATACAAAACAGGGTTGGGGATGTGACTTAGTAGTTGAGTGCCCCTGAGTCCAATCCCTGGTACCAGCGCCCCCCAAAAAATATTGCTCATATCTACTTCCAAAATATATATGAAAGTGTCTATGGTAATAATTTATTCTTAATGTTTTTATGCATATATTTTTTTTCTTTTTTTTTTTTTGGGGGGGGGTACCAGGAATTGAACTCAGGGGCACTCAACCACTGAGCCCATCCCCAGCCCTATTTTGTATTTTATTTAGAGACAGGGTCTCACTGAATTGCTTAGTGCCTCGCCATTGCTGAGGCTGGCTTTAAACTCAAGATTCTCCTGAGCCTCTGGGGTTACAGGCATGTACCACTGCTCCTGGCATATATTTTTTATATAGTTAAGATTTATAAAATTTTTCATATTGCATCTTGCTTTTCCCTCACTCAGCATATCCATAAGTTTCCCTGTGATGTTAAAAAAAGTTTCACAAACATAAATTTAATAGGAATTTGTTAAATAGTATGTGAATTGTTTTTGGAATTCTTGTACAGGATAGTGTATTGATCCTTTGTTAGATTTATACTGTTGCTTTTAGCCCTTCATTCCATTCCATTAAGRTCTGTTTAAGGTTCTAATTTGTCACCTGTCAGATTAACTATTTCATACAGCTTTAGGCTATCTGTAGAGTTTTCTAGAGAAATGATTCTTAAGCCTTATTTTACTACAGAGCTTTTTGTTTAGATGTAAGTTTTATAAAGCTAAAAGTTGAATGCTCAAAGAAGGTGGATGGGAAGATTGGGAAACTTAGTGACTAGTAAGCCCCTAAGGAACTCCCCAGGAATTGAATTTAGAGGAATTTAGCTTTAAAAAAAAAAAAATAGTCTAAAACTCTTTGATAAAAATCAGCCTTCAGAAGAAACCAAAGTTCTTCCTCTTGTCACCATATACAATAGAACTTGGAACCCAGAATGGTAACCGACTTTTTATGGTGAGCTGAAATTAGAAAAGGTAACTAGAGGTGATCTTGATTACCAGGAGCTCTTCTCTTTAGTTTTGCCTCTAATTTGAGAGTGGGTCAAGGTTTGATAAGCTGTAAGAAGATCCCAGTATATGACCTTGCTGTAACATACCATTTCCTAAAACCTGGTATACTTAAATGCATAACAAACTAGTTTAATTTTCCAACAGGTATTCCTAATATGGTTACCCAGCCTAGGTTGAATTCAGGCTGTTGTATCTCCTAGCTCTGTGACCTTTGGTAAATTGTATAATCTCTGTGAATCTCCTTAGGTGATTTCTATGGTAAACATCTATAATTCTTTCCAGAACTAATAACATTACTAGTGTCATTGCTTCCAGTCTCCTCATGTCCTGATTATTCTCTTTATCAATTGTAAAATGAAGGAAATAATAGTACCCACTCCTAAAATTACTATAAAGCAATTATTGGCATATGGAATGTTCTAAGTGACCAACTTTTTTTTTTTTTTTTGGTACTGGAGATTGAACCCAGGGGCACTTGACCACTGAGTTATATCCTTAGACCTTTTTAAATTTTTAATTAATTAATTAATTAATTAATTATTTTGAGAGAGAATTTCAACATTTTATTTTTCAGTTATTGGCGGACACAACATCTTTTTTGTATGTGGTGCTGAGGATCGAACTCGGGCCGCACGCATGCCAGGCGAGCGCGCTACCGCTTGAGCCACATCCCCAGCCCCTTAAATTTGTATTTTGAGACAGGTTTTTGCTAATTTGCTGAAGCTGGCCTTGAACTTGTGATCTCCTACCTAAACTTCCAGAGTCACTGGGATTATAGGCATGTGCCACCACACCTGGCTCATCTTTAAACATTTTAGAAAACATTATTTTAGATATTATCAAAATACATTCTTAAGTTTATGCATATTGTTATTATAGGTGACTCTGTGTTCTGTTTTTCTTATTGTGTCCATGTTCTGTGTATGTAATCATTATTGTATCTTCTAATCTTGAAAATTGTTTTCCAGGAGATTGAAGAAATACCTGGAGGATGAAGCAGAGGTGTCAGGAAGTGACGTGGGAAGTGAAGATGAGTATGATGGGGAAGATATTGATGAATATGAAGAGGATGTAATTGATGAAGTACTTCCTTCTGATGAGGAATTACAAAGTCAAATCAAGAAAATACACATGTTAGTATCCCAATAATTCTAAGTAACAGGATGCTTCTTAAGGCAGGCCCTAAAATCAGCCAGAATCGTCCCTGGTTTTGAACACCTTATTTCTCCTGTTGTAGGAAAACAATGTTGGATGATGATAAACGAAAACTACGTTTATACCAAGAGAGGTACCTTGCTGATGGGGATCTGCACAGTGATGGTCCTGGGCGAACGAGAAAATTCCGATGGAAAAATATAGGTATCTTGGTTGCTATCTTTGGAAACAAATGGTTTCAGCACTGAGAATGTTTACTCAGTGCTAGAGCACTTGACTATCTTGTGTAGCATATACATACAAAAGAAACAAAAAAAGGTTCTGATGTACATATTTGGTCTAGGTTAAGATGGCAGATGACAACCAGTGGACTTAGCTATAACCATTGTTTTCTTTTTTTGGATGTGTGATTGAACCCAGGCGTGTTTTAAACGCTGAGCCCTTTTTATTTTTTATTTTTGAGACAGGGTCTTACTAAGTAGCTTAGAGCCTCATTAAGTTGTTGGGGCTGCCCTTGAACTTGTGATCCTCCTGTCTCAGCCTTCCAAGCCCCTAGAATTGCAGGCGTGCACCACCGTGCCTGACATAACCATTGTTTTCTATGAGTGGGTGGGAAAGGTTTATGTCAATGTTCAGTATTTGATAGGGATTATCTTCTGCTGTGGGGATTACAGAATGCTAAAATCCTTAACTTTTTGCTTTAGATGATGCTTCCCAGATGGACTTGTTCCACCGAGACTCTGATGATGATCAGATTGAAGAACAGCTTGATGAAACAGAAGCCAAATGGAGAAAGGAGCGTATTGAACGAGAGCAATGGCTTCGAGACCAGGTAGAAAGTCTACAAAAAAAATTCCCTATTCTGACCTTAGTTTATCAAAAGGAGAGGACCCAGTCACTTTTTTTTTTTTTTTAATATTTTTATTTTTAGTTATCGGCGGACACAACATCTTTGTTTGTATGTGGTGCTGAGGATCGAACCCGGGCCGCACGCATGCCAGGCGAGCGCGCTACCACTTGAGCCACATCCCCAGCCCGACCCAGTCACTTTTAACTTAACATGATTGTTTCGAAATCTTAGTCAACATTTAGTAGCCCCCTTTATATATTTTTTTCTTAATATTATTTTTTAGTTGGACATAGTACCTTTTTTAATTTATTTATTTTTATGTGGTGCTGAGGATCAAACCTAGTGCCTCACATGTGCTAGGCAAATGTTCTACCACTGAGCCAGAACCCCAGGCCATTTGCTAGCCCTTTGAATCTTTTTTTGCACTGAGAAGGATAAATGATGATGGGCAATTATCTTCAGGTTTATTTGTCCAAAACTTTTTTTTTCCTAAAACAGCGAAAATTGCAAAAACAAAAACAAATGATATCCCAGTAACCTAGCTTCACAACCCAGGCTATGCTATTTAGGGAAGCTATGGAGTTTTATGTTAATGCTGTATGGTTTTTATTTTCAGGCACAGCAGGGGAAAATTACAGCTGAAGAAGAAGAAGAAGAAATTGGGGAAGACAGTCAGTTTATGATGCTAGCCAAGAAAGTTACAGCAAAAGCACTGCAGAAGAATGGTGAGTTCTTATATCTCTTTAGGGTCTAGCCCCTTGAATTGTTAGTGCTGAAGCCTTAGAAGTGACATGAACCTTCAGGAGCTATTGGAGGTTAGTTTTAAGCTTGTATCTAATAGTGTCACAGAGGTTGGACGAGACCGAATACTTGAATCTTAGACTATTGGGCAGCAGAGATTGTGCTTGTGGGTTTATATAGCTGCTTTTGCTTTATGATCTAAGGCTCAGAGTAATGAAAAAGTTCCTTTGTTTTAGCTCATTGGTTTAGTTATGAGGTTTCTTAGCATGTTTATATGTAAAAGTAATTCTCTGCCTAGCTTTGCTTAGAACAGTCCTTTCTGTCTTTTTCTTTCCAGCTAAACGCCCTGTGGTTATTCAGGAATCAAAGCCTCCACTCAGTGATCCTTTTGAAGCCATCAAACCTGGAAGTGCTCACCAGGTTGGTTGAAACTTTGTCAGTCTGATAGTCATGGTGTACAGGTTTTAAAGGCCCAGGTCAAGCTAAGAGAATAGCCTCCCTAAGGTAGGGAGGTGGCCATAGGAAATGAGAATATCAAAGGTGCCCGCTATTTCTTTTTTACTTAAATAGAGTAGAAATATGTCCCTTTAATACCTGTAGGGGAGCAGAGAGGGTAAATAACTTTTTGTTCTTCCTTGGAATTTGGGATTTAATATCAGATAACTCTTCATTTCTTAGCTGAAGACAGGCTCGCTGCTAAACCAGCCCAAAGCTGTGCTTCAGAAACTGGCTGCTCTTTCTGATTGCAACCCTAGTGCTCCCCGAAATTCAAGAAACTTTGTCTTTCATACACTTTCTCCTGTCAAGGCTGAGGCAGCAATGGAATCATCTAAGCCTCAGGTAAGGAAGTTGAGAACTAACATGGTACCTTCCAAGGCAAAATTTATTTATTTTAATTAAAATACAAAAGTTCTGGTCTAATAACTTATGCTAYAGTGTCATAATTCTGTGCTCCCCAGTGACGTACAGGGGAATTGCTACCCCCAATAGGTAATTAGCTTTTAAACTTGTCGGAAAATTTTTATATTATTTTCTTTATTTTCTGTTGTGAATCACCCATGATTCAACTGAATTGTTTAAGAGCTAACTGGAGGTAAGTAAGTACCTATTTGAGGGTTTTAAGCTGGCCCTGACTTCCTCTCTGTTCTCTAGGTGAGGAGAAGAGGTCCATCGTTAATGACATCCCCTTCTCCTAAGCGCCTCAGAACAGAAGATAACACCCCAGGAATGAAGCGAAGCATCTTCAAATATTTAGAAAGCTAACACTATAAAGGGTGCCAACACCTATGCTGAGACTATTTTGAGAAGTTTCTGACACTGAAGGTTGGAATTGATGCTCATACTGATGAACTCTCCTTCCTTCATAATTAATGCATTATGATTATGAACAAAGATTCCAGTTTTTCTACTACATGGCTCTGGACATCTTTTCCTTTTCCTAATATTATTTCTTGGGTTGCCCACTAATCTTAATTCTTCAGTGTCCCCAACATCGACTTATGTAATATTTGATTGAAGTCTCACTTCCTTCACTAAACATTTAACATTATATTCTAGCAGCTTCTTGGGTTGACACCTCTTTGATAGAGGTGGTTGGAGGAGAAAGAGGGGGAGGAAGGAAGCATAATGCTGCAGAAAATTACAGAAAGTGGCATAAGTATAAGAATGATTCCTTCACACCTGCAGATCCCTACCATGGTGACCAGGACTCAGTGAAGGAGAGACTTCTTAAACTGAGACCTAGGAAACAACAAATGGACTGTTGTATTAGGCTTGCCCCTTCCATTTTCCTGCCAAATTTCTAAATGACCTTTCAAATTTCTAAATGACCTTTGTTGCCTTTATAATAAGGACTTAAACTGGTATAGATTCTAAAATACCTTACCCCTAATTTTCTTAGGTGTGAAATGAAGATAGAGTTGCACCCAGTGTCTCCCTATTAGTCTGTGGAGCACAGAGATTTCTCCTGGGACTAAATTCTCAATTTGAAACACTGTTTCTCAAGGACCCTCCTTCTTTTATCTGACAAGAAGAAATATAACCATTATTTATCGCATCTCCTGGGTTGAGCATAATTCTCTGACCATTCAGGACATTTTAATATTTCATTACTAATGTTGAGAGACCACCATGGAGTTTAATAAAAATGTCATTAGGAGAATTCCATCATTCCCCTCTTCCTTAAGTTACCCTGGGGCTCTCAGAAGTTTAAATTGACTTTTCCCTCTCAAACCTGAACATTAGTGCTGCTTTGGATAAACATTCCATATGAATGTTACAGTTTCATTCAGGAGCTGGACTTGGGAAATTGGATGAGATTGTTTCGGTTTTTTATTTGGAGATGGGGAACACCAATTTAAGTGATGAAATTAGGGTGTGGGTTTTCTACAGTTTTTTAATACTCAAGATTCTGTCTTTAACAGAATTCATGTTTGTATATTTGTAATCTTGTAATGTGGGATATGTGTATAAAGTTGTTTTAATATGTATGTAGTTTTTCAATAAATCATAATGTCTTGAAGACAGGATTTTCTTTCACTTGAATGCTCATTTTTAGGTCAATACCAATCTAATGTTAGGGAGCATTTCATTTTCAGGGCCTCTCCCTCCCAGGAAGGCCGAGTCGGGAGTGGGGGGCTGCTGCAGTTATCTCTTCACTGGCTCATCAGTACCTGTCCACTGATCAGACTAACTAACCCTAATAGTCTAAGTTCAGTGCAGGTGAGGAAAGTTTACATAAATGGTACCTGTTGTTTCAGCCCTTTGGGGGCACTTTATCCTCAGCCAACTTTGTATTATTTCACCCTAGCTGTGGGTCTAAGGGTGGGTCTTTGATCTCTCTAAATAGTGGCCAATGTTTAGCAATTCTTCCCGGGCAAAAGAGAACTAGGAAGAAAATCTAGAAATTTATCCCTTTTTTCTTCTCCACATGCTTTTTTTGGGGGGAGCAGGCATAGGTGGCAAGGGTTTTGTAGAACAGAGGTGAAGATGATTGGAATTGACCACTGAGGATAAAATCAGTGCCTGAGAAATCTGGGGAGCAAATGGCTTCTGTTTGAGGCTCCAGGGACAATGTGCTTTTTGGAAAAAGAAATGTGGAATCTAAAATTAAAACTCTAGGTTGTTTTTCCTCATGCCAGTATAGCTGCCATAAGGCAAGATAAGCCTTGATCTTGGTAACAGGATTGAATGACGAGTTTCAGCCTGGTCCACATGCCTTTAACCCRGAGCACTGAGTCATTAGCATCTGCTGTTTTAGTAAACTGGAACCCAAGGCTCACCACTATTGACTCCTAGTAGAACTAAGCTCCATTAGCTTGTTTGTGGGGGGAGTGGGGGTTGGGGGAGTACTCTGGGGATTCAATCTAGGGGTACACTACTACTGAGCTATACCCCCAGCCCTTTTTTATTTTTGTTTTGAAACAGGGTCTCACTAAGTTGCTGAGGCTACCCTCAAACTTGCAATCCTCCTGCCTCAGCCTTGAGTAACTGAGATTACAGCTTCTCTCTTAGCTTGGAAATTTCATATTTGGAGAGATAAAAGTTCAAGATTTGCCAATGGCACAGGCCTGTAATCCCAGCTACTTGGGAGACTGAGGCAGAAGGATCACAGGTTTGAGACAGTCTCAGTAACAGCAATACCCTGTTTAGGGTTAGGGATGTAGGTCAGTGGTAAAGTATTCCTGGTTTCAATCCCCTGTACCAGGAGTTAGAGGGGACTTTAAGCAGGTCTCTAGTCTCATTTTTTTCAGTCCACAGTAGCACCAACCATATTAGGGTCTCTTCTATAAAATATCAGATTATTTTCAGCTAAGCTCTAGAGGTCAGTTGCCTGCTGAAATCACTAGGGGATCCCTTATCTTCTCAATTGTTTCTCTACAAACTTACCCCCACTTTGTGAATTTCTAATGGTCAGGCCAGAAGACCAATATTTTTTTTTGGGGGGGGGGCACTGGGAATTGAACCCAGGGGTGCTTTACCACTGAGCTACTTCCCTAGTCTTTTTTTTTTTAATTTTGAGATGACTGAACTACATCTTAGCCTTTTTTTTAAACTTTATTTATTTTTTTTTGTGTTGAAGATTGAATCCAGTACCTCATACATGCTAAGTAAGCACTCTACTACAGAACCACAATATCCCAATCCCATTTTAGCCTTTTTATATTTTTTTTATGTTGAGACAGGAGTCTCACTGAGTTGCTGAGGTTGGCCTTGAACATGTGATTCTCCTACCTCAGTCTCCCAAGTCACTGGGATTACAGGTGTGCACCACCATCTCTGGCTCATGATATGACTTTATTGTGTCATCCCTGAAATGTTACTTATTTTCTACCTTCATTTCCTATTCATGGCCTGACACAGCCTGGAATGTAGTGTTACCCAGTAAGGATTGAATAAATAATACTGTACTTTTCAGAGCCTCTGTTTATAACTATGAAATGAGGATCCTAATTCATGTCTGTTTTAGAGTTGCTATGAGGTTTAGCTTGGAAAATGTATGTGATGAACACATTATGTCAAGTGCTACTCTGCAAACATTAAAAATTGCCAATATTGGGGCTGTGTCCATGTATAACTGAAAAAACATTTTTTAAAAAATGCCAATATCAGGCTGGGATTGTAGCTCAGCCGTACGTAGAGTGCTTGCCTAGCACATGCAAGGCCCTGGGTTTGATCCTCAACACTATCAAAAAATAAATAAAGTAAAGATGATATTGTGTCCAACTAAAAAATAAATTTTAAAAAATTGCCAGTATCACAATAGCATTATATTTTGCTGGTCATCCTTAAAGGCCCTTGTCTCACAAACACCTCAAACTTAACATCTTTAAGAATGTGATTTTTCCTCCTCAGAAAACCTGGTTTTCTTCCTGTGTTTCCCATTTCGATATGTTGCCTCCATGCCTCCAGTCATTCAAGCTGCTTCCCTCTCATGCAATCTGCATAGCTGTCAGAGTAATCTTTATATAAACATAATTTGGAGGATGTGCAACAGTACTTAAAACCTTTCAACAGAGCTGAGGGTGTGGCTGGTAAAGCACATGCTTAGCATGCACAAGGCTCTGGATTCAATCCCCAGCATTTAATACACGCAATAAAAAAAAGCTTTTGATGTTTTCCATTGCAATCAGAATTAATTTTCAACTTCTCACTGCCTACAAGACCCTGCATGATAAAACACTGCTTCCAAATCGCTGATCTACTCTCCCTTCCATCCTTCCCATTTCTTGGATTGCTTTCTTCTCTAACCTCCATTTTAAGCTAATGTATAATTCTCTAAATGTTAGCATAAGTCATTCTCATAAACATCTGTGACCATTACTACCCCTTTCATAACTAGGTAATCTCTGTTAATGTTTCCTACTCTTTTGGGTCTTTTATCACAATTTGCCACCTTAATGTTTGTAGAGGACTGTTTTCTCTATTAGACCATAAACTTGAAAATAGATATCAAGCTGGGCATGCCAACACATACTTGGGAGGCTGAGGGAGGAGGATCACAAGTTCAAGGCCAGCCTCAGCAACTTAGGCCCTGAGAACTTAGTGAAACCCTGTCTCTAAAAGTAAAAAGGGCTGGGGATGTTGCWCAGTGGTCAAGTGCCCCTGGGCTCAATCCCCAGTACCGAAAAAAGAAAAGAAAGAAAGAAAGATACCATACCTGTTTTAAAAATAAGTGCTTTGGATAGCACCATGACTGGGACATAAAATTATTCAATAAATTAATACTTTTTGAGCAACAAGTGTTGAAAGGCCTGGAAGAGCTAATGGTGAAAAGCTTGGAGCTGATTTGCTTACAAAGCTTTCAGGTGTAGAATGGAATAGAAGTAACTTGGGTGAGACTGAGTCCTTGTTCTCTCTGCAACTTAAATGTGGCATGATCTTAGATAAGTCATTCTCTGAATTATTTTTCCACAACTGGAAAATGAAACTCATCGGAAATGGCTTGGCTCAGAGGGTTATGATTAGGATCAACGGTACAAAGTAATGGGAAAAAATCATGCATATTTAAGGGCCCAGTACTGCAGGCCAATCTAGTGCTGAGGAAGGGGTAAGGCAGATACCTCTTCATGCTCTGGCTGAAGGAGGAAACAGAGGCCACACCTCAACAGAGCTCCACAGTCCACCAGCCTGTGGACCTCTCCTAGCAGCGAGTGGTAGCTTGCCATGTGCTAGGGCTTGGGACAGTGATAGGAATGGAGGCCTGCAAACTTCTAGTGAACTGGGGAAATAGGCCTGGCTTGTGTACAACCTCAGATTTTACC